GAGAGGACAGGAGAACATAGGTGAGGTTCCGATTATTGGCTTTGACTATGGGAGTGTCCTGGTGCTTGAGAATATTCCAAGAACCAAAGTTGTGATTAAAGAAAATAAAACTGCAAATGTGGTCAATATAATCCCCAGAGGCTCATTGTAAGTCAGGAAGCTTATGTATTTTGGGAGGCATCCATCTTGGCCAATGTTTGGATAATGATCTTCTGAACATTGAAAACAATCATCCATGTCTGAAATCAAATATGAAAAATAGATATAATATGATATTTAAGTATGGCATTCTGTTCCTGAATGTGGGTAGTGAACTTGAAATATCAAATGTTAATTTTGTAGTACAGTGGTACCTCTGGTTATGAATGCCTTGAGTTATGGTTTTTTGGGTTACAAATGTTTTTAACCCAGAAGTAAGTGTCCCAAGCTCTTGGAGGCCTCACCGCTGCCCAGAGCCAAGCCCAGACATCCGCGGGGCCTACGGAGCCTCCGTGACTGGGCTCCAGCAGCGGGAGCTCTCTGAGGCCTCTGCAAATCCCCGGAGCCAGGCCCTGACATCAGGAGGATGCCCAGGGGGTCGCATCCCAGCCCCAAAGTTAGGTAAGAAGCACTTACCTAACGAAGACCAAGAACAGTGAAGCTGTTAAGAAAAGAAAGATGAGCCTGGGCCAAAAAGTCCTTTACCAACCCTTGCCCCTTCCCCAGGTGTAGCACCTGGACAGGTTTGGGATTTTTTTATGTGAGCCTTTGTCTCTGCTTTGTTCCTTCGTTTGGGGGACTTTGGAGGACTCTGCCTTCTGCCATAGTTTTGGGGATCATGTGGAGCCCAATTCAGCCACTGGTTAATTGTGTGACTGCAGAAATGGATAAAAAACCCCCATCCAAACAATGACTATCATCAGTGCATGTAAGAAAAAAAATAAATTTTAATTTTTTTCATCTACAATACTGTCTTATTTATTTTATAGTAAAGTACATTGATTTTTGCCTTCATTTTATGAATCAATGGTCTTGTTAGACACTAAAATTTGTGTTAAATTGCTGTTTAAGGGGGCGTTTTTTATTGTCTGGAACAGATCAATCCCCTTTTCCATTACTTTCAATGGGAAAGTGCAGGTTAAGAACGCTTCAGGTTAAGAACAGACTTCCCGAACCAATTAAGTACTTAACCTGAGGTATCACTGTAATTATAATAGAAATTCTGCTTTCTCATGGGTCCCAAGCAAATCCAGAAATATAAACAAATCTCAGCCATCCTGCTAGCGGCTGAACGTGTCACACATCGTGATTTGTGGGGCTTGCACAGTCTTTTTGTTTCAACTGATCCAACCCACTAATATGCTTATCATCTATGAATTTGTCTGATATTCTCTTCAGTCACCCAAGTTACCTCATGTGAAATATGTGGAAGACAGCCCTGGATTGTTTGACCCTTTTATTATTTCTATTTTCCCTCCTATAAAAACTACACAAGACACTCTCTGTATAAAGTTTAAAGAACAAATAACTTTGACTTAATATTCTTGCAGTTGCAGATTGTTATGTTCAGTGCAGGTAGGTGATACTTAGATTGCTAACAGTTTAATCTATGTAACAGTTTAATCTATCTAAAATAAGAAAATAAGAAAATTGTCCAGTAGCACCTTAGAAACCAACTAAGTTTGTTCTGGGTATAAGATTTTGTGTGCATGCACACTTCTTCAGATAACTCTTAGGCAGATAGCAGCAGCACACAACAAACCTGTTCTAATTGTTAAGACCATTCAGCTAACTGCCATAACTGCCACAGAGTGTATGACATCACAGAGTTCTATGGTTCTTGCCATTAACCCTTTACATATGCTTTGTGTGTGCTAACATTTCACAATTTTGAATGTTAGAGCAATTAGTTTAAGCATTTAAAATGCTGATGGGAGCAAGCTGGATTGTAGCTGATATATTTATAAAATAAATAGTAAGGTAAAGGGACCCCTGACCATTAGGTCCAGTCATGACTGACTCTGGGGTTGCAGCGCTAATCTCACTTTATTGGCCGAGGGAGCTGGGGTACAGCTTCCAGGTCATGTGGATAGCATGACTAAGCTGCTTCTGGCGAACCAGAGCAGCGCACGGAAATGCCGTTTGCCTTCCCGCTGGAGCAGTACCTATTTATCTACTTGCACTTTGATGTGCTTTTGAACTGCTAGGTTGGAAGGAGCAGGCCGAGCAACGGGAGCTCACCCCGTCGCAGGGATTCAAACCCCCAACCTTTTGATCAGCAAGTCCTAGGCTCTGTGGTTTAACCCACTGCACCACCCACATAGTATCCATCTGTTAAATAGGTGGCAACTGTTAAACAGAACACATCTACATACGACATTCCTTACCTTTCTGGTTTGAAATCTTCCCTTCTGGACATGGAAAGCAATCATAGCAGCAAAATGCCTTCCCTTCTTTTTTAGCTCTTCTATAACCTGAACTGCAGTGATAATTACATATGGAAATGGGGCATATCTGTTAATAAATGATAAAGTAGTTTTTTAAAAAAATCCAAAAATAGGTTGTGGAGCTTTTATTTCATTATTATTTCTCTGCAGTGAACGAATGGCTTGATACTGCCATAAGGAAATATAATGAATTCTTGAGTGCACGTCGTGTTTATGTGGTGAACTTCCCTATAACTGGAGCCCTTTGCCCACCTTAAGAAAACATGAGACAAAATATGCATTGCGACAGTGTTGCTTGAATTCTGTACATTTGTCTCCAGCATTCTAACATCCACTTCAAAATCTGGAGACAATGTGACTTTTTGAACATTGAGGCAATTATTCAATAGATCCCAAAATATGCACAGTCACTACCTGTTTAAACTGGTTGGGCCATATGATGACATCCTCATTAATGATGAAGACATTGTCCTGGTGAACCATGGGCTCAATCTTTCCAACTTTGACCCTGAGGAAGGAGTGGTTTGGAAATGTGATCCAGTTCATAATATCAAATCCAGCAAGCAACTCGCCATTTTGATCAAAGGAAACTGTTTCCTCCACACTGTTGTTAAAAGAAATACTTCTGAGAACATGGTGGAGCTAATTTATGAGGGTGAAAAAATAGGAGGCTGTACTTAAAAGGTGCAAAGGATGGAAATACACATCAAGGTTGTAATCTATCAGACATGAAGATTTTGGATTATGTTTCCTTGAAAGGATGTATGTAGGCTAATCCTGGTAGAAATGATAGTAAACCACCTAAAATGTCAGGAGATGCATTTATTTCCCACAGTGGCCCTGAGATAGTGCTTGATTATGACATATGGCCTTCCAAGTAAAGGTAAAGGACACCTGGATGGTTAAGTAAAACTTGACTATGGGGTGCGACACTCATCTCGCTTCAGGCCTGAGGGAGCTGGTCTTTGTCCACAGACAGCTTTTTGGTTCATGTGGACAGCATGACTAAACCACTTCTGGCGCATCAGGACACCGTCCTACAGCTCATGGAAATGCTGTTTACCTTCCTGCCACAGCAGTACCTGTTTATCTACTTGCATTGGCATGCTTTTGAACTGCTAGGTTGGCAGGAGCTGGGACTGAGCAACGGGAGCTCACCCATTGCATGGATTCGAACTGTCGACCTTACAAACCCAAGAGGCTCAGTGGTTTAGACCACAGCGCCACCCGCTCCCTTGTTCCAAATACAGCACAGTGCAGGAGGGATGTTGTGGCAACTATGAAAATATGCTTTCTCCTCTGTGTTTCCAGTAATTCCTCCCCTAGAAAAAATTGAAGAATCCATACCTACCCACTTACCCCATAATCACCAAAATGAAAAGGTGCTCACTAAAATGAGGAGAGGAAACTTTGAGTTTTCCTCCTGGTCTTTAGACTTGAAGAAATAGTTTAAACACATGCACATAGATACCATTGCTAGGTTAATCTGGAATGGCTGTAGCAAAAGAACCAGCACTAATGTCACAAGCAGCTGATGGGAAAATCAATAATCTGCTAAAGCATGGTTGGTGGAAGGGAAATGTTAGGTGGCACAGAAGGCCATGGTGCAAAATTAAAATAAAATAAAATAAAAAAATAAGATTAAAATAAAATAAAATAAAATAGTGCTGTGTCTAACTTTATTGTTGGAGGTGGCAAAATGTCCGGGGTTGCTGCTCCTAAGAAGCAGGAATGGACTTGAGACAGTGCCATGGAGCAGCAGCCCATATAAAATTTCCCCCAGATGGGAATGTAGGACCCACAAAAGAGGAAATGTCTGGGAATTCCCAGTTGTGGTACAGAAATGAAATGAATAATCATCGTCGTAATTTTGATGGGCCATTGGCCTGTTGGATCAATTTCGAAGTGAAACTCATCAAAGGAGGGGCGAGAAGCTGGTTCTTCATAGGATGTGGCATTCTTGTTCTGTGTTTGCTCCCTCAGTGTGTTCACTCAACTCCCAGGAATACAAGGGGATACAACTGACAGGAATTAGAGAAAGGAAATGATACTTTTCCCTAGCTCTCACATCAGGTCTTTCCTCCCTTGTTCTACCACAGAGAAATTTTGAGTTAAACTGAAAAGAGCTTTCTAAGTCTCACCTATCTCTGCTTGCCATAAAATCAGTGAATAGTTGCTAGAGATCTTGGGTGGAGATGCACGCAATAGGAAGTTGTTGCACCCAGTGGTGGAGAGACCCTCTCCGTCACCAGGGGCAGAACGTCGAGGGGCGGAGCGAACTGCCCAGCAGCCTGATCGGACTGCGCCTGCATGACAGCATGTACAGACACCATGTGAGAGGCAGCCATATGAAAGCCTGTATGCACGCCGTGCGCAAGTGGCAGCCCATACGGATGCCGTGCGAGCTGCGCCCATACTGACTGCGCACGCGCCCCTCGCTGCCCCACAGCTGGGGGGAGGCAGTGTCCCATCTTGTCACCCCCCCTTGGTGGCACCCGGGGTGACCCGCCCCCTCGGCTCCCCCCTTTGTACGCCACTGGTTGCACCTACAAATATGGGAGTATACCCCAATCTTTAAAAGTGTGAGCAGGACATTACCTGCCATGGTTGTTGGTCCAATCTTACTCCATCTGCCATTGCTCTGTGTTTGACTTGGGATGAATGCCTTGTACTGAATGCACGTGCCACTGCATAGACTGCATTGTAGATGCTGTAGCTATTTCCTGTCATAGACATTTCAAAAACAGATGCGGGAAGGGTCTCTAGCTTCTCCTCCCCAGTGCAGACTTTCTTGTTCATCTTGTCTACAAAAGAATTGGGGTATGTGCAGCTGAATGATTCCTCCCAGAAGTCCTTTATGAAACCATCATTGTTTTCTGAGTAAGGGTTCCTATGCTGAATAAATTTATGGAATCCTGACACCTCCTTTGAGTGAATTGCAAGAGATATAGCACCATGGAGGAAATTTATGTCTGAACTTCTTTGTATCGGAAATGATGTGAAATCCATCTGAGCTGTCATAATCCAGACTTTTGTCTGGATGTTCATTGATATATTTGCAAAGTGTAAAAGCTGGTGCATTGATCTCATTGCCATTATACTCTGAATTTCTCCATATACAACCACAACTTTGGCAGTGCTTTCCATAACAACTTTGATAGATTTCAAGCCCTCTTCTAGCATGTCACCAAAATCACTGGAAGAAGTTTGTTTGGGGAATTTCTCTATGAAGTCAAAGCAGATGCCCTTTTTGGAAAACAATGGGAACATGTCCTCTTTAAACTTCTCTATAGTGTCTTCATCCTGAGAAAGCATCCCAATCCATGTCCATGCAAAATGCAAGAGTAATTGGAGAATCCCTTTATATAGGTGGTTCACATTTGGGAACATTTGGTAGAAGAAAACCCTTCAGTTTTTTTATTCATGACTGGAGCAGAGCCATATATGAGCTAAATAATATTTCAAAAATGTTAAGATAATAAGTGTAAGAGAGATTTGGGTTAGATTTGGAAAAATGTGATTATATCTGAACATAAACTTATAGCCACTCCACATTTGAATTTGCAAGTGTGTCACAGGCTTAGAAAATATGCCTTATAAGCAGGAGGCAATACAGTAAGTTTACTCAACATGGTGGATCACTTGTTGGAAATTTGTGATAAAGTTAAACAGGCTGATAGGCATAGGGATAAAATAGCTGAGTGCTTCTGTTCTGGCCAGCCTTTCTACTGATGTTCTGGTGCCTATTCATTGTGACAAAATCAAGTATGGTATGGAAGTCTGCAAATGTGCCTTGTGCCATCATCTCATCATCAAGAATCTGGTCTATGACATACTTGCCTCAAAGTTTTCTCAGTGAAATTAAGATCATAGAATCAGCTATGGAAGACATTCTCTAACCTTTTCTTGGAACAATATAGAATACACTGAATGCACACCTACTTATTCTTACACACACCAAGTACACACATTTCATACGAGGGGAATTTATTTGCTGGGAATTCTCTTTAGATTCAAATGAGCTTGGTACATATCTTGGAATGGAGTATAGCTATGGGTTTAAATACGTTAAATTGTGTTGAACTCTCACTTTGCACACCACAGATCTGTAGCAGGAAACCTCTGTTCTACCAGGCCTTCAAGATTGGTCCAACATGCCATCTTCGACAAGCCATAAGCACATTTTCATGTTTTCACATTATATACTATATCAGGGATGGGAAAGTTCAAGAAGCTGCTTGATAAATATCAGGTGACAGATGGGCACCTCTGTCCCTATGAAGGTGGTCTATGGAATGGGGAGACTCAAGGTGTGACCCACCAGCTAGATCCTCTGCTCCACCCTCACTATGGATTTGCGATGTCTACAAAAAATTGTATAAGAATTATTAGCATGGCTGTGAACCGACTGTAGATTGCATGGACAAACAATTAGTTTGCCAGAGGGAATGCTAGAGTGACTTTAACAAAACCACTTTGACTATGTTCAAAATGCTGGGAAAGAGACACATTCAAACACCTTCTTGTACAACTGATATAGGCTAGGACAAGCATGACCATAATTTCTGTTGAATCCGTAAAAGTGCCTGTAGAATTGAAATCACTCTTTTGTTGTCCTGAAAGCATATGGATTCACTCTACAATTTGTATCTTTGGCTTTACGTATTAAACAGGAATATTAGAAGACAAATAGCATAATGTCTGAAATGCAAGAGAAGTTCAAATGGCTTCTTAAACATGTGTATTTATGTTCCACATATAAATCTTACTTGTGGTATCTTGTAGGTACACAGGATGGGTGCCATTTGGGGTCCAATATAAGAGTTTGGTCCTCCAATGACTGCAACTGGCGTATTCTCAGCATCACACTTGTAGTTAGGGATGAATTTGGCCCTTCTTGAGAGAAGTTCTATTGAAGCTTGAAAGGTCCACTTTTCACTAAAATGGCTGTTATACATGTGAAATCCGAGAGTAGCATTGGGCAAGACACAGGGATTTCCATTGATCTCCTTTACAGCAAATGCCAAGGCCAGGATTTGCTGGTAGAGCTGAGTCATTATCCTGTATTGAGAGTTGAAGGGTGCACCACAGTATATTGTCATAAGATTAGATATAGGGAACATAATAATAATAATAATAATAATAATAATAATAATAATAATAATCTATATAGTACTCTGCCCATCTGGCTAGGTTGCCACAGCCACTCTGGTTGGCTCCCAACACAGGAAAACATCATAAAACATCAAACATTAATAGTAACAATCTGATCCAATATAAAAGTCACAATAACTTTAAAATAAACAATTTATATCAAACAAAGCAATATTCAACAATCCATCGGAATCTTATAGGAAACAGTAAAATTAAACTTCAGTCAATAATAAATACAGTTTGCACAACAATCACAATAAATACCAATCTATAATCAATAAAAATAACAGCCAGTCAAAATGCATAAAATACTGAAAACATACAAAATCATGTAAAAGGATCAATTGAGAAACAAAGACACAAAACATATGAAACTATTTTTTTTTAAAAAATATACTATATCCCTGAACTCATCTCTTCCCAGCTGCTGCTGCTGTTCTCAAAATCATATTCTATGATAGGGTTTGTTGGGCAAGACACCTGACACCTTGACTCTGACTGTCCCAGAGGCTTCCTAGAGGCCAGACCCAACCTGGGGCAGTCTGGGGCTGCTTCCACCTAACTCAGTCAAAGTCCAGGTCCACCCAAATTTGCCTGATTCATTTCAAGATTCAAACATTGTCTGAATCTGCTGCACAGCCCTAGCAACTCCTTCATGGTTTCTCTTTGTGTGTATTTGTGTGTTAGAGATGAAGCAATCTGTCATTTCTTTTTTCCTAATTTAATTTTCTGCATGATCACATCATGTTGCATTTATCCTAAAAAATCATCATGAAAATTCAGCAGTGATAGAATATCTTTAGAAAAGCTATCTTGTCAGTCAGAATACTAGGGTGAAACTTCAAGATAATCCTGCAGACTAGAGGGGGATGAACAAGGAACATCCATATGGCTTCATGTACTGGATGTATGCAGTGCCCTTTGAATTAAAATCACACTTTATGTTAAGATGTCTTGGAAAAAAATACCTATTTTGTTCTGATTTCTTATATCTTTGTTTACAGGCTGAATCAATATAGGAATTTTTCAGAACCCCAAGTGAATCGTAAGATTTCTTTTTTAAAGATGCCATTCAAAATGTGACTTCATATTGCAGTCAAACCACTTTAAATCTGCCAGCAACATCAAAAATAGAAGAGAAATAAAAATGGCTTGTTAAACTCCCGTGCTGCATGAATTCACTACTTACGCATGGTGTCTCATAGCAAAACAGGATGCCCATGTGCAGACAAATATTAGAACTACATGCGTAAACACAAGATCAAATGGGGGTAGATTAAATGAATTGGTAGAACCACTGAAACTCCAATAATTTGCCAGCCCACTGGGTATATCCAGTGAAAGTCCAACTCCAAGGACAAGGTTGGCTGTGAATAGCATCATTTTAGAACATGGCTTTTAAAAATTCAACTACTTACATATGGTCATCTGAAAGTTCCTGAGCTGGGTATTTTTCAAAGGTCATGGTGTCTGAAAAGATATAGATCTGAGAAATAATACCAGCAACGATGAGGTCACCTGCCTGGTAATATTTGTGAAGAATACGGACCGGCTCTCTGACAGAACACAGAGGAAGAGGAAGAAACTTGCACAAACCCTGTAGCGGCAGTAATACCACCTGCAATAAAAATACTACCATCTTGCAAGGGATTCTTTATTTCTGGCAAAAAATTAACTATTCTGCCATTGCTATTCAAATGATCCTGAGTAGCAAAGCCTGACTTGAATGGTCACTCCCTCAGATGATGGAAAGCCAGAATAGTACAATATATAAAAAGGGGTCACCACACTGATGAGTTTCTGTGTGTCTATATAACCAGCTCTGAATAATTATTAACGAGACCTTTCTTTGCATATGGCCAGGATAAGTCCTGAGGGTATGGGAAGGATGCTATTATGAATAATGGGATAATTACAGGTGAGGTAATTGCTTGACTTGTGTTCTAGATTCTTTGCAATATTACTAAAGAAAACATGTTTATTGCTTTTCAGCAAAAGTCTTCTCAGAGTCATTCTGAATGGGAGACCAAGAGAGTGAAGACTTCTGGGAGCAAAGATGGTTGGCTAGTCATCTACTGTTAACACTCCATTGTTAGATAGAACTATGTGGTGGTTAAGGATGGTGATAAATTATGACATGTGACCAGTCTGCTAATTGGAAATTTTGCTTGGTATGTGAGGTGACAGCTAGCTTAAGAAGAGGTCATTTTTAATAGGCTGAAAACAAAACAAAAAGCATTTTATTATTATTTCCAACTAAGAAAGATTATTAATAGGGAAAGGTGTTCTGATTGTTAAGTTTTCATTTTGTATTATTTTTAACGCTTCATCCCTTTTGTGAAAGTGCTGGCTTCAAAGTGAAACTGAAATCTGTGGGAAACTGTGGGAAGGAATGTGTTCCTCTGATAAGGAGAGAGACACAAGTGTTCAAGGCAGAGACTGCTAGGGTGGCAAATATACAGTTGAACATCCCCACTGAGTGTTGGCATCATGCAGCAATTATTGGATGAGCAAGTGAAGGAGCTCAGAGCTGAGATGCATAAAATGGTGAATAAAAAATGCATTAAACCTCCCATCTCCACCTTGAGATTTTCACAGAGTTAACTCTTATAAAATTAAACTCCTTTATTACCCACAGAAGAAACATGAAGTGGTAAAGTTACTTTCAATTTCTTGGCTACACTTTAACTGATAAAAAGAAGAAAATAAAATTTCTTAGCATACAGAACTCCTTTGTTTAAAACATTCCCTCTCCTTTTTTGCAATATTTTTTATTATTTTTCAGTTACAAAAATCCAATGTAAGCTTTATTATATCAATACCAAATTACAATACCAATTCAAATACCAATCAGTCAGATAGCCAGTTACACAATTTAGGTGGGCCCCCCATGTGCTAAATTTCAAGGTTTAATAATTCCATTTAATTCTGCTTCCAAACTGTTATTCAGTCCACTTACCATCCAATCTTAATAATAATCCCTTATACAAAAGCTACAATCTTTTTAACTTCAATTCGTGTTGACACATTTAATAATTTATGAATCTGCAAGTGAAGCTCTCCTTTATTCTTCCTGTGTGTGGTATTTATTTTAACCAAATTATTCCCCTTTGTCCTTGCCAAATATTATGTCTATCTTGGTTATTCCTGATCCCCATCATGCCTTGTGGCATTGTTGTCTTGATGTCGTTCTAAAGAAATCTCTTCTTTTTTCAACACCTCTGGATGTAGTAGCAAAGCTCTGTCACTGCTCTTCGCCATTTCTTTTCAGTCTAGGAAAAGGAGTAGCCTCCCCGCCAAAGCCCTGGCACATCTCCAGGTTCTCCCTTCTCCGTCCAGCAAAAAACCCCTAGCTATTATTACTCACAGAAGAGTGATCTGCCAACCTGGCAAAGCCTTGGCAAGTCCTTAAGCTCCAATTTTTCTCCGTTCAGCCAGAGATAAAGTGAAAGTTAACTCCACCCAGTTGTTATGAATTCCAAGCCCTTTAAAAATCATTCCATTTTATTTTATTTAGTTCCGTTTGGAATTTTAATCCATATCTGTATTCCCATTTCCCCTCATCTACACTTGCTACATAAAAAAGTTTTTGGTATTCTTGGTGGGTTTGCTGAGTCATTTATGTAACAAAAGAATCTCTAATGAACAGAAGAACCTCTGCTCCTTAATGGTGTCATAGGAGGGATACCAACAAGAAAGGGATACCTTTTGCACTCAGTGCCTCCCTGCCTCCCGCATTCCATGCTGGAGCGGGAGCCAGGTACCGAGATGATCTGCAAGTGCAGCCCATTTTCCCCATCCTGGGAGAGAGTTTGCAAGGTTAATTACTCTCAATCATCCTTGTTTCATCTTTGCCAATGATCTCCCATTATCGTGGGAGCTGGCTCCATCAAGGCAGCAGGAACTGGAAGCCTGTTTAAAACATTTTTAATTAGCGCATACATTTTATTCTGACCAGCCCATTCATGATCGACTTCTCTTCCCTTCTATTAAAAGCCAGAAAGCAGCTCAATCACAGAATGTAAATTTCCACCAACAAAGATAAAAACTTATCTCAGTCGTAAATTATAGCCACCTCAGAGATAATTACAAAAGGGAGGCCTTGGCAAACCCCATGCCCTCGGGGTTTTTATGTGTTTTGGGGGTGAGAAGTTGATTCTTCCAGTCATGTCACTTAACTTTGTCAGGATTCCTGGGACCTGGCAGCTTCTTGGTCTCATAATAATAATAATAATAATAATAATAATAATAATAATTTATTATTTAAACCCCACCCTTCTGGCTGAGTTTCCCCAGCCACTCTGGGCTGCTTCCAATCAAGTGTTAAAAACATTACAGCATTAAGGCAGCTTTTTCAGAGCATCAGAGGTTAATCCCCAGCTCACACTTTTCTCCGGCGTGAATGCAATATTCAATATTTATGAATCGCTATCAACAATCAACACGTCTAGAAAAAACCATATAAGGCAGCTCCTGAACATGTGTTTGCAAATTTTCTACTGCTCACAAAGAAAAAAATCACAAGATACAGCAAAGGACAGTTATTATTTCTTTAATTTTTCTTCCTTATTAGCTGTTCCCTATTGTTCAGCTCAGGCCTCAGAATGATTATATAACATTTGGGGGAAAAGATGCAGCCCAGCAGCCCACCACCAGAGGCTAAGATGGAGAAGATCTCCACAGCTACCATATATTTTCCCTTGGTGCTCAGGTAGGAGGGAATAAAGGATAGCCAAACACTGCAGAAGACCAACATGCTAAAAGTGATAAACTTGGCTTCGTTGAAACTGTCCGGTAATTTCCTGGCGAGGAAAGCCACAACAAAACTCACAGTTGCCAGGCAGCTCATATAGATGAGGACACAGTAAAACATTGCCACACTCCCCTCATTACATTCCAGTATGATTTCTTCCATCACGGAGTGCATGTCCACATTTGGGTATGGGGGAGAGGTTGCCAGCCACACAGTGCATATGCCTACTTGGACTATGGAGCAGGAAAGGAGAATGGAGTGGCCTAGTGCTTTCCCCACCCATTTCCTCATCCTGGATTCTGGTTTTGTAGCCATGAAGGCCAAAACCACCGTCAAGGTTTTTGCCAGGACACAAGAAACAGCGGTTGAGAAGATGATACCAAAAGCTGTTTGTCGGAGGAGGCACGTCACCTTCTCAGGTCGGCCAATGAAGAGCAATGCACAAAGGAAGCAGAGCAGGAGAGAGATGAGGAGAGCGTAGGTGAGGTTTCGGTTGTTTGCAATGACAATGGGTGTGTCGTGGTGTTTTATAAATGTACCTAGTACCAGAGCAGTGATCAAGGAAAAGGAAAGAGAGAAACAGGCTAAACTGATGCCCAAAGGTTCTTCATAAGACAAGAAGCTGATATCCTTGGGTAGACATCCATCACGGTTCTTGCTTGGATATTCTTTGTCTGGGCATTTATAACAGTCATTCATATCTGGAAAAAAATAAGGAAATGACCTTTAGTTCATATCACGTCAGCTTCCTGAAATGTTGACTTTCTGTCTGAGAAGAAAAGAGCTCTGTTCACATTCAAACACAAGTTTAATACTGTCTGATACTCTGTAACATGGTATTGTTGCTTTTAATCGGTTCAGAGCTATTGGTCTGTAAATTGGAGAGCCAGGGCCATTCCTCCTCATGATTTTGGAACATATCATTACACTAGCCTGGGTAAGTCAAAAGGAATGAAAAGCCCCTTCTAGATTTGATTTGAACCACATACCATCCGACTCCTCTCAATGCATAATCATTCTCATTAGATTAACATATTAAGGCTATCTGAAGGGCAATGATCACAAAGAAGCAGGATCTCACACACAGTAGATCATCTCTTGTTTTGAAAATTAAGTCATCCATCCTTACAGCACCTTTCAATGCTTAGTACTGAGTCTGGATCTATTTAACTATTTATTTCTCTTACCATCCTGGTTTGCAATCTTCCCCTCTGCACATGGGATGCAATCGTAGCAGCAAGGTGGCTGCCCCTCCTTCACTTTCTTGCTGGATCCTGGAAGACATCTCTCAGTACAGACAGAAAGAGGCTGAGTCTATTCCATAAATGAAACAGCAGAAGGTTCATCAAGAAACTAATGCATTTGGAACCCTTTAGGTTCTTGATCCTTTCTCTATGTTACTAAGCTGACACAGCATTTCAGTAATATGTAATGACTCTACAAAGAGCCATTTCGTCCTTTCGTATAATTAATATTAATGTTTGAAATTATGTGATGTTCCCTCTATATTGCTCTAGGATGTGCAGTGCCCCATCTGTTAAGGAAATATTTTTCTGTCCATTAAAGTACACTTTGAAGTTACTCTAGTTTCCTTGTTTATTTTGTTATAATTGTTGCCTTTAAGTATTTTGTCCACTTGGTAGACAGCTCTAGAACTGATTTTGGTGCCAGTGGATACATTTATTCTTGGACCCATCTGATTCCTGGGGATGTGTTCCAAATCCACGTTGTAGCTCCATGGTCTCTGAGCATGTATACCCTCTTGTGCTGGGGAAATGTACACAGAGGCTCCATTTGACTGGAAGAAAACCTGCCCTTCTATATCGACGCCCTTTCAAAGAAAAACTGGTAGTTGACCTAATGACCCACATTCAGATGATGAATTGTGTGATGCAAAAACCACATTTGCATGGATGCTCTTGTAGTCGGGTCTGTGAATGGTTGGGATTAGGGTGAGCTAATCTATTTTTTGTTACAGTGGTACAGTGGTAACTTAATTCGTCCTGGAGGTCCGTTCTTAACCCAAAACTGTTCTTAACCTGAAGCACCACTTTAGCTAATGGGGCCTCCCACTGCTGTCACGCTGCTGCTGCGAGATTTCTGTTCTCATTCTGAAGCAAAGTTCTTAACCTAAGGTACTATTTCTGGGTTAGCAAAGTCTGTAACCTGAAGCGTCTGTAACCCAAGGTACCACTGTATTTCAGTTTGAATTAGGATCCCCTAAGGCATATTTACACTGTTAGCCTTGCTTAACTGTATTTTGTAGTAAAAGGATTATTCTGTTTTGTAACCTCCTTAATAAAATATTTGCCTTTGATCCATGTGTGTCCTCTAGCTGTAAGATTTTGGCTCTTAATCTGGTACCTCATTGCTTTGGTCATAAACCACTCCTCAACTTGTGGCTCAAAAAACAGTGAGTACACCTGCAGGTTGATAATGATTGCTTATTCAATAATGAATCTCTTTTGAATTTGGATTTGTGGATTTGTAACTGGCTGACTGACCGAACCCAAAGGGTGCTCATCAATGGTTCTTCTTCATCCTGGAGAAGAGTGACTAGTGGGGTGCCACAGGGTTCTGTCTTGGGCCCGGTCTTATTCAACATCTTTATCAACGACTTGGATGATGGACTCAAGGGCATCCTGATCAAATTTGCAGATGACACCAAACTGGGAGGGGTGGCTAACACCCCAGAGGACAGGATCACACTTCAAAACGACCTTGACAGATTAGAGAACTGGGCCAAAACAAACAAGATGAACTTTAACAGGGAGAAATGGAAAGTATTGCACTTGGGCAAAAAAAATGAGAGGCACAAATACAAGATGGGGGACACCTGGCTTGAGAGCAGTACATGTGAAAAGGATCTAGGAGTCTTGGTTGACCACAAACTTGACATGAGCCAACAGTGTGACGCGGCAGCTAAAAAAGCCAATGCAATTCTGGGCTGCATCACTAGGAGTATAGCATCTAGATCAAGGGAAGTAATAGTGCCACTGTATTCTGCTCTGGTCAGACCTCACCTGGAGTACTGTGTCCGGTTCTGGGCACCACAGTTCAAGAAGGACACTGACAAACTGGAACGTGTCTAGAGGAGGGCAACCAAAATGGTCAAAGGCCTGGAAATGATGCCTTATGAGGAACGGCTAAGGGAGCTGGGCATGTTTAGCCTGGAGAAGAGGAGGTTAAGGGGTGATATGATAGCCATGTTCAAATATATAAAAGGATGTCACATAGAGGAGGGAGAAAGGTTGTTTTCTGCTGCTCCAGAGAAGCGGACACGGAGCAATGGATGCAAACTACAAGAAAGAAGATTCCACCTAAACATTAGGAAGAACTTCCTGACAGTAAGAGCTGTTCGACAGTGGAATTTGCTGCCAAGGAGTGTGGTGGAGTCTCCTTCTTTGGAGGTCTTTAAGCAGAGGTTTGACAACCATATGTCAGGAGTGCTCTGATAGTGTTTCCTGCTTGGCAGGGGGTTGGACTCGATGGCCCTTGAGGTCTATTCCAACTCTATGATTCTATGATTCTATGATTCTATGAATTAGCAAACAATGCAACCCTACCTGGTTAAACCAGCTGTGCCATGTGATAGCATCTTCATCAAGGAGTAATGATTGGTCTGGAGGAGCTTGTGGATCTATCCTCCCAACTCTCACTCGGTGCAAACTTTGGTTGGTGAATATGATCCAATTCACAATATCCAAGCTTGATACTGCCTCCCCATTCTGGTTGATGAAGACCACATCTCCTGCAGTATTGTTAAATGACATGCTTCTCAGAAAGTGATGGAGCTAGATTGAAAGCAGAAAAGAAAGGGGTTTAGAAAAGACTGCAGTCTAATGCAGGGAGGAGCATTTTGTTTCTATGGGAAGAACCTACAGCAAATGGTGGGGGTGATTTCCACTAATCCACTGACTAATTGTCAGTGGATTCAGGCCCAAGCATGGAGAGAGTCAACCAATTTTCTTTCACACACATGCATCTCTCTCAATCTTCCTTACATTCCTTCTTTCTCTGATTGTCCACAAATTAAATATGTTTAAGCAGCTATCTCTATCTTTCTCTCTCTCTCCATCCCTCCCTCCCTGTGCATCTCAGAAGACACGGCAGTGGTTTGTGACCACCAGCTCCAAGGAAGGATTTGGTTGATATCGGATAGAGGGAGTGCTGAACATCTCTCTCAACCATTACCACTGCTTCCAGTCTATGAATGGCATGGGATCTCATTGGGTTGCAAAGCTTCCATCATAACAAATGCTTTCTCCTCAAGCATGGGGCAATAACTGCTCAAAGAAGGACACAACCATCATTTCCTTTCCCTATAGATTCTACAGCCATTTGCAAGCAGAAAAATATATGGGAAATCATCTAGGATACCATCATATCAGTGCCACCTGCTACTCTGTCTGCAGAATTATAAATTCGATTCTGGGTTCTTCTTCCACATACACTAGTGCAAATACTTGAACTCTGAGAGGAAAGAGCAAACTGATAGAATTTTGGGAACCCAAAAAGTGACAGGAAGTAGCAGGGTTTTGCCAGTTGTGGAAGTTCAGCCTTTACCTGCCAAAATGGTTGATTCGGATTCTTCCCTGTCCCTCCATATGCAATTCCTCTGTGTCTGAGTCTGGATGTGGACATGGCATGTAAAGCATGGGCCATGGCATAGACAGCACTGTGGATGCTGTAACTGTGGCCTGTCATGCTCATTTCAAAAAGGGACCCGGGAAGATTCTCCAGCTTCTCTTCTCCGGTGCAAATATTCCCCTCTACCTTGTCTGCAGTGTTTTCTGGGAATACACATTCAAAGGCCTGTTGCCAGAATTCCCTGATAAAACCGTCCTCATATGTGCTGGAAGGGTTTCTGTGCAGAACATACTGATGAAATCCTGGTGGGTTTCTAAAGTGAACTTCAAAGGCTATAGCGCCACTGAATATTCCTGCATCCCAGTACCTTTGAAAGACGAATGTAGCAAACTCAACCTGGGCAGTTGTTATCCATACTTTACTTTTTACATTCTTTGTCTTGTCATCATGTTTCGATATGTATGAAAGCACCATAAAAGTTGCCATGGAGTAAGATTCTCCAGAGGCAACCACTACGTTAGCATTGCTGCTAAAAATTTTCTGGCTTATTGTTGCACCCTGTTGTAGCATGTCAGTAATTTCAGAAAGAAAACTAAAATTGGGGATTCTTTCTATGAATTCAAAGCAGACACCACTCTTGGTAAACATTGGGGAAATGGTTTGCACAAATCTTTCTCCATCGTTATTGTCTATTGCAATGACTCCAATCCATGTCCACCTGAAATGCAGAAGCAAAGAGAGAATTCCCTCATACTGAAGGGCTTCTGAGGCTGCCATCTGGTAGAAGGGAAGCCCTGGGCTTTTATCATTCATCACTGGAGCAGAGCCATAAATGAGCTAAAAAGTAAATGGAGGAAGAGAAGAGACAAAGTAATATTTGCAGAGTTCTTTCAAACTACAGTGGTACCTCGGGTTACAGACGCTTCAGGTTAGAGACGCTTCAGGTTACAGACTGTGCTAACCCAGAAATAGTACCTCTGCTTCAGGATGAGAACAGAAATTGTGCGGCAGCAGCGGGAGGCCCCATTAGCTAAAGTGGTGCTTCAGGTTAAGAACAGTTTCAGGTTAAGAATGGACCTCTGGAACGAATTAAGTTCTTAACCTGAGGTACCACAGTATTCATATACATTATTATGTGGTGAATCCTGTCAGTCAGACATGCCCTTTTTCACTCACCAGGGGTTGCATGCCCTTTCTCATTTATACAAAAGACACACATGCAGATGGGCTCAAGATTGAGGTCATCTCTCATTCTTGTTTGTTAAACATTTGTTCTGTTGACCAGAGAGGGACATTTTCCCTGTTATATTTTTCTTTTCTTAAAAAAATAATAATATTCCCAATCTGTCAGGGTTAAACTGAATGGAGGGACACACAATGTCCTAAACAAAGGATTGCCTAACACTGCGTTAGACATTATTTACTGCAGCCACTTCAGAACTGCCACTTGGGTCAGATACACATTTCTGCTTTTTCTCCTTCAAGACTTCTCCGACTTCATCTATGAACATTTATTTCACTTTGGAACCAGCTGCTGAATACTATTGCTGTTCTCATGCAGATCTGGACTGTATCTGCAATTTGCCATAACTCCAGAGTGTGTTTAATTTGAAAGCCCTTTCCCACTAAATATTGACATATTGGGTGTGGTGTCGTGAAGGCAAATAATTATTGTACTCTGAAATCCTTGTGAATTTTCATCCTATTACCAATTCCCCCGCTTCCCCTGCAACTCAATTCAGATACCCTTCTTCTTAAGCAGGAAATTCTGCAAATCCAAAAATGGCTGGTGAGGGTGGTGTGCATGGTTCTGCCCCCAATTTCATCCTCACCCTGAACTGGTGACACACTCTGAATTGGTGCTGTGAAATCAGTCTTATTCTCTATGCAAGCTTAGAGAGGTATCATACATGGGTGTCTTACCTGTGGAATCTTATAGATATCCAAAACAGTTGCCACATAAAAGGAGATTTCAGAATCAAGTCCCCCAATGACTCCTGCCAGATTATTTTCAACATCACATATATAGTTTGGGACAAATTTCTCCACCCTGGATAAAAGCAGCAGTATGGCGAGATATGTGCTCCTTGCATTGTTATAGCTGTCATATAAGTGAAAACCCAAGGTGATATTGGGTAAGATTTGAGGGTCTTCATTGATCTCCTTGACTGCAAATGCCAAGGCCACGATGTGCTGGTAAAGCTTAGGCAACACCCTAGGATGAGATTTGCAAACAGTATCAGAAGGAACAGATTTGAATTACAATAGTTAATCCTACTGAGTTCAGTGGAGTTGTCTCCCTGTCCATTCCACTGCTGAGCAGGTCTTATAATCAGCAAGTTCTTCCTCATGTTTACACAGAATCTCCTTTCTTGCAACTTGAATCCATTGGTTCTGGTCCTACCCTCTGGAACAAGAAAAAACAAGCTTGCTCCATCTTCCTGGTGACAGCCCTTGAGATATTTGAAAATGGCTATCCTATATCCCCTCAGTCTCCTATTTTCATAACTAAACATACCAAACCCCCTCAACTTTTCCTCAAAAGGTTTGGCTTCCAGACCCTTGATCATATGTGTCAACCCCTTCTGCACATGTTGTAGCTTGTCAGTATCCTTCTTAAATTGTGCTGAACACAACTGAACACAATATACCAGGTGTGTTCTGTGCAGCGCAGAAGAGAGCTCTTCTGTGTGTTTTTTTTACTGGGGTACTATGCTTCTGTTGATGCAGACTTTTCACACATAGCACTGGCAAGCCAGGTGTTCCCCATCTTATATTTGTACAGCTGGTTTTTCCTGCCTAAGTGCAGAACCTGACATTTGCCCCTACTGAAATTCATTTTGTTAGTTTTGTCCCAGTAAAGACCTGTTAAGGCCAATGGTATCTAGACCAGGGGTTGCTAATGTGGTGCCCATAGGAACATTGGAACCCCTGGGGTCTTTCCCTGAAATATCTGAAGTCTTTTCCTGACATTTACAAAGTGTCTGAGCTCTCTCCTGCAATGACCCCTTCCTCATTCATGAGGCAGAGTTGGTGGTTGTAATTCACACAATTCTCTACTTCATATTACAGTGGTACCTCAGGTTACATAAGCTTCAGGAAACATACGCTTCAGGTCACAGACTCCGCTAACACAGAAATAGTACCTCGGGTTAAGAATTTTGCTTCAGGATGAGAACAGTAATCGTGCTCCGGCGGCACGGCAGCAGCAGGAGGCCCCATTAGTTAAGTGGTGCTTCAGGTTAAGAACAGTTTCAGGTTAAGAATGGACCTCCAGAACAAATTAAGTACTTAACCCGAGGTACCACCGTATATGCCGTCATTGTGAAACAAACTTTAGCCTAAGATCAGGAAATGAAACAATAAGAGCATTCAGCTTCTGTAAAGTTTTTTTTAATTCATTCTCACTAACACTCCTGCTCAGATAAAGTCTATCAAAATTGGTTGTTCAAAAGGGCTAATAAATATATATACTTTTCAATACAATTATATTCATTTCCCTATTGAGAAATGGGAACTTAGAGAGTATTCTCTTAATTCAGAAGACATTCCGACGTGTTTTTACATCAGCATATGTCCCACTGAAATCAAAAGTGCTTATCCCTAGGTCAATGGGTAGAAGTTTTCAGCCTCAGCCATTATGCTGAGGCTGCAACTCTAGGTTTGATCATTCCTCTGCTGTAATGAATGAGTGGCTTAGTTCTTACACAAGCTCTTCAGGCAGCGCTGGTGGGGGTTCCTCAGTCAATGTTGCTGCAGAGGAGAGGAAGCCACCATGGTAAACAATACCACCAATGAGGAACTCTCCTGGCTGATGGTACGTTTGAAGTGGACGGTGTGGACTTTGAAGCCTGCATTTTCCTATGTGAGCCTGACATGCATTGTAAGAAATCAGTTTCAGCAGCAAGACCACTAAAACCACCATCCATGCAAGGGCAACTGTTTCTTCTACACAGAAACCATATTTTCTCTGGCAATAGTATAATCAGCTTCTCCAAGATAAAAAATGTCTCATTTGAATGGTAGTTAAGTTTCCTAAGAGGATGCAATCTGGGTGTATCCCAGACACTATTTAAGTAATTCTGGTTAAGTTGCTGTATCCTTTGTGTTATGTTGCCAGTTGCCAGTGAAAATCCAGAGCGATTTTTTTTGAGGAGCAACAGATTTAATTATAGCTTTGTTAATAACCAAGGAGGAATGTAGGTATTCAGAGCTAGGGATTCCCTGTGGAACTGCTGAAGGAAATGTGTTTGTCACATATTCAGGACTGTGATTTTTAATTTCCTTTCATTAGATAATAAGGGACCAGTGATGTATTGGTGAAGTTAGAAGTTAGAAGTTCATAATAGAAGACCTTGAAACCAATGGAGATCCCAAAATGTAGTATGGTGTAGTCAGGATGAGCAGACCTGGATTCACACCCGCCATGTGGCATGACTGCAACCCTACACGTAGTAGTTACTTGGAACTACGCTTCCATGGTTTTTAAATCACTTGTAAAATATGATGAATTTTACAACAATATCTTTAGTAGTCTGAAATGCAACCCTTAGCTTTTAATTCATAATTTAAAATATTTGTACAGAAGTGTTCCTTTTTAAACTTTAGTATGAGGGGAAAAGAACATCAAATTCGGAGAAGAATGAACTTGGAAGGATGGCTCTGCTATGGTTCATGCCCACAGAGCTGTCTGTGTTCCTTGTTGATATCAGAATACTTTGTCAGGGGAAATTCCAGGGAGAAGAGCTACATGGGCTGCTCTATTGGATTTGGGGAACAGTTTTGTCAAACAGACTTGTTCATGCTTTAACTCTTTCTTATGATAAGCTGTCCCCTGCTGTTTAACTCTGGCCTCAGCGAAATGATATAACATTTTTTTTTGGGGGGGGGGAATGCAGCCCAGTAATCCAAAACTAGAAGTAATCCAAAATTTCCAGCCACAGTGGTAGCTATTTATCTACTTGCACTGGAATGCTTTTGAACTGCTAGGTTGGCAGAAGCTGGGACAGAGCACCGGGAGCTATAACCTGAACTGCAGTGATCATTACATATGGAAATGGGATATATATGTTAGTAATTGTTAAAGTAGTTTTTATACAATCCAAACATAAGTTGTGGAGCTTTTATTTCATAATTATTTCTCTGCAGTGAAGGAATGGGTTGATACTGTCATATGGAAATAATATGAATTCTTGAGTGTACATCATATTTATGTGGTGAACATCCATATAACTTGAATCCTTCACCCACATTAAGAAAGGAAGAGACAAAATAGACATTATGACAGTGTCCGTTGAATTCTGTACGTTTGTCTTCAGCATTCTAACATCCACTTCAAAATCAGGAGACAATGTGACTTTTTGAACATTGAGGAATTATTCAATATATCCCAAAGGAGGCAGGATGATGCTTCTTCTACTCATAAGTCTCTAAACTTTGTTAGGATTCCTGGGAGCTGACAGCTTCCTGGTTCCCCAACTCAGAAAATTGCTTTTTCAGAGCATCAGGGGTTAATCCGCTGTTCACTCTTTTTTCCATAGTGAATTCAATAGTCAATATCTATGATTGCCTAACATCAATCACCACAAGGAAAATCTAGAAAAAACATCTAGAAAAAATTATGTAAGGCAGCAGCTGAACACATGTTTGCAAATATTCTACTGCACACAAAGAAAAAAGCACAAGATACCGCAAAGGACAGGTTAGTATTTATTTACTTTTTCTTCCTTATTAGCTGTTCCCTATTGTTCAGCTCAGGCCTCAGAATGATTATGTAACATTTTGGGGAAAAGATGCAGCCCAGCAACCCAACACCAGAGGCTAAGATGGAGAAGATCTCCACAGCCACCATATATTTTCCCTTGGTGCTCAGGTAGGAAGGAATAAAGGGCAGCCAAACACTGCAGAAGACCAACATGCTGAAAGTGATAAACTTGGCTTCGTTGAAACTGTCTGGTAACTTCCTGGCGAGGAAAGCCACAGCAAAACTCACAGTTGCCAGGCAGCTCATGTAGATGAGGACACAGTAAAACATTGTCACAGATCCTTCATTGCATTCTAGTATGATTTCTTCCCTCACAGAGTGCATGTCCACATCTGGGTATGGGGGAGAGGTTGCCAACCACACAGTACATATGCCTGCTTGGACTATGGAGCAGGAAAGGAGAATGGAGTGGCCTAGTCCTTTCCCCACCCATTTCCTCATCTTGGATTCCGGTTTTGTAGCCATGAAGGCCAAAACCACCGTGAAGGTTTTTGCCAGGACGCATGAAACAGCAGTTGAGAAGATGATACCAAAAGCTGTTTGTCGGAGGAGGCACGTGACCTTCTCAGGTCGGCCAATGAAGAGCAATGCACAAAGGAAGCAGAGCAGGAGAGAGATGAGGAGAGTGTAGGTGAGGTTTCGGTTGTTTGCAATGACAATAGGTGTGTCATGGTGTTTTATAAATGTACCTAGTACCAGAGAAGTGATCAAGGAAAGAGAAAGAGAGCAGCAGGCTAAACTGATGCCCAAAGGTTCTTCATAAGACAAGAAGCTGATATCCTTGGGTAGACATGCATCCCGGTTCTTGCTTGGATAGTCTTTGTCTGGGCATTTATGACAGTCATTCATATCTGGAAAAATATAAGGAAATGACCTTTAGTTCATATCACGTCAGCGTCCTGAAATGTTGACTTTCTGTCTGAGAAGAAAAGAGCTCTGCTCAAATTAAAACACATTATGCTCTGTAATTATGCTCTGTAATGTGGTATTGTTGCATTTAATCGGTTCAGAGATATTGGTCTGTAAATTGCAGAGCCAGGGCCATTCCTCCTCAAGATTTTGGAACATATCATTACACTAGCCTGGGTGCAGCCTGTGTAAGTCAAAAGGAATGAAAAGCCCCTTCTAGATATGATTTGAACCACATACCACCTTGCTACTCTCAATGCATAGTCATTCTCATTAGATTAACATATTAAGGCTATCTGAAGGGCAATGATCACAAAGAAGCAGGATCTCACACACAGTAGATCATCTCCTCTTTTGAAAATTAAGTCAGCCGTCCTTACAACACCTCTCAATCCTAAGTACTGTGTCTGGATCTATTTAATCTATTTATTTTTCCTACCATACTGGTTTGCAATCTTCCCCTCAGCACATGGGATGCAATCGTAGCAGCAAGGCGGCTGTCCCTCCTTCACTTTCTTGCTGGATCCTGGAAGACATTTCTCAGTACAGACAGAAAGAGGCTGAGTCTATTCCATAAATGAAAGAACAGAAGGATAAGCAAGAGAACAATGAGTTTGGAATCCTTTATGTTCTTGGTCCTTTCTCTATGTTATTAAGCTGACACAGCATTTCAGTAATATGTAATGACTATACAAAGAGCCATTTCTTCTTTTCTTATTATTAATATTAATGTTTGAAATTATGTGATGTTCCCTCTATATTGCTCTAGGATGTGCAGTGCCCCATCTGTTATGCAAATATTGCTCTGTCCATTAAAGTACACTTTGAAGTTACTCTAGTTCAGTGTTTCCCAACCGGTGTTCCGCAGCACACTAGTGTGCCGCGAGACGTTGCCTGGTGTGCCGTGGGAGGGAGGCGGGCGAGTCGGGCGGCGAGAGGCGGGGCGGCGGCGACGAGGATCCGCGTCGAGCCGGGGGCGGCTCCGCGGTGGTGGTGCCGAGGTTTCTCTCTCCATTCTCCCCTCACACACACACACAGGAAATAACACAGGATCAGCTGACAGGACCCGGCCAATGGGGTGGCGGCGGGGCAGCGCGCGCAAAAGGGAGGAGCGCGAGACAGCGGACGAGGAGGAGGCCGGCATGTCCGGGCAGTAGCAGCAACAACAGCAGCAGCAACTCCCGGCGACGGCTCCTCAAGCCCCGGGCAACCCTACTCCCTCACCGGCCTCGGTCGCCCTCCTGCTCCATCCGCCGCCGCCTCCCCCGCCGCCGCCGGCCACCTCGGCCCCGCCGCCGCCCCTTCCTGCGCCCGCTATCACCGCCACCACCACAACAGCCGCCGCCGCCTCAGCTGGGCCCATGCCTGCCGGGAGCGGCGGCGGCAGCAGCAGCAGCAGCGCCCCGGCGCCCTTCCCTCACGGCGGCAACCCGGCCCTGAACGAGCAGGAGAAGGAGCTTGTGCGTCCCTCCCGGCGTGACGCTGGGCGCTGACGTCACGGGGCTGTAATGGTGGTGTGCCTCGATATTTTTTTCATCAAACAAGTGTGCCTTTGCCCAAAAAAGGTTGGGAAACACTGCTCTAGTTTCCCTGTTTATTTTGTTATAATTGTTGCTTTTAAGTATTTTGTCCACTTGGTACACAGCTCTAGAACTGACTTTGGTGCCAGTGGGTACATTTATTCTTGGACCCATCTGATTCCTGGGGAAGTGTTCCAAATCCACGTTGTAGCTTCATGGTCTCTGAGCATGTATACCCTCTTGTGCTGGGGAAATGTACCCAGAAGCTCCATTTGACTGGAAGAAAACCTGCCCTTCTATATCCACGCCCTTTCAAAGAAAAACTGGTATTTGACCCAATGGCCCACATTCAGATGGTGAATTGTGTGATGCAAAAACCACATTTGCATGGATGCTCTTGTAGTCGGGTCTGTGAATGGTTGGGATTAGGGTGAGATAATCTAGTTTTTGTTACAGTGGTACCTCGGGTTAAGAACTTAATTCGTTCTGGAGGTCCGTTCTTAACTCAAAACTGTTCTTAACCTGAAGCACCACTTTAGCTAATGGGGTCTCCCACTGCTGTCGCGCTGCTGCTGCACGATTTCTGTTCTTACACTGAAGCTAAGTTCTTAACCTCAGGTACTATTTCTGGGTTAGCAAAGTCTGTAACCTGAAGCATCTGTAACCCAAGGTACCACTGTATTTTAATTTGAACTAGGATCCCCTAAGGCATATTTCCACTGTTAGCTTTGC